TAGCGCCGATGGCAGCTGTGTTGAGCATAACCAAATTCCACAGGGTTTCCATGCTATTGCGGCGGTGGATAATGCTCAGCTGGGAAGTTCCCAGTGGGAACCAACAACATACGGGTAGGTTGTAAGTGCTTACAGCGTGGGATGAAACAGCTCCCTTCAGCAGGTCTTTAATGACAATCTAGCGAACAAGAATACTCAGCAACTGAATAGTGACGACCAGGTAGAACTGTCCTATGGGCACTGCCTACTTCGTACTAGTGCCAGGAAGGGTTCGACCTTGCTCGATTCGAGACGACTTGGACGCTGAAGCACTCCTTCAGTTGCGAAGATCTGTGCGCATACATACAACCCGAAGGGTGTGGTTCGGTACCGACCGATAGCTCACGAATCTTGGCTGGTCGGGATTCTCTACTTCCATTAACCTTTCTTCGACAACCGCCGAGGCCCCTTTCAGTCGAAACCACTACTATTCACGGCTTTGCCAGGCAAAGTTTTGTGCCTCTTGTAAAGCTCGTAAGACCATTGTTGGCCCTATTGATGCGAAGATGGTAGTTGTACCAGCGGTCCAGCTTCTCTTCGCCGGTAATATCTCATTCGTCCCGTGAAACGGAGTACTGTTCCTCTTTGTCGTCTTCTTCCTCTTCGTCCTCATCATCCTCCTCTTACATCTCTACCATGGACTACGACTCCTCCTCCGACGCCTCTGACGCCTCCGTCGTCACCGTGTCTACGACTGCCCCCTCTTCCTCTAACTCCATCCAGTCGGTGTCTACTACTACTAGTAAAGTTTCTGTAATCACTCTTAGTAGCGACAGCGACAATTGATCCGTTTCTCAGTCCTCTACGGGCTAGATGCGTGAATATTCTCGATGTTCTTCTGTGGTAGCGGATTCGCAAAACATTTAGGATCAATCATTTAGGTTTATGCCGTCTGGAAGAGCGTATAGCCGAGATAACTTATCTATCTTAGAAGAGGGTTGAGTCACGAGTTAACGTGTAAGAGTAGCGAGATCACGGCTGAAACGTCAGACGAAGTACAAAGCCTTAGGGCAACAAACCTCTTGCATGTAAATTACGTGGGATTTCATCCCACCCACATCTTGTCTCATGTGCCTTGCAACTCGTTGTAACGTTATACTCGTACACGTAACGTTGTAAGTCGTAAGATGTAAGTTAGTCATAAGTTGTAGCAGAGCATAAATGAGTCGCAAAGGGCAATCGATTCGATTCGAATCGATACTCGTAAAATCGATAGTGATCCGCAGCGGTAGGAATTTTGTACTAGGAGAGAAGTATTATGAGTTGATAATTAACGGAACTCAGGTGTACTCAAGACCATGTGAGGACACCTAACCGTCAGGGCCCCATCGGAGTATTCGATCCCAACTTTAAATTTCAAAGGCGTAAAGAAGTCATTGAAGAGACTGACGTTTTCAAAGGCGTGACTGTCGAGAAGCCACAAGGCTTCTGAACAAGAGACCTCCGTACCTCGGTTCCTAGGCCAGGTTTCCTGGCCTTTTGAATAAGTCGACAAATACGTGTCGAAAAGGCCCAAAGTATTGGCTGCCGAAGTACTCGTCTGGACAAAAATCTGGCCGTAGCGAGTGACACTCGCCGAGTGTCAAAATGTCACCGGACATCTTTTTTCAGTTTTCTGTTCAACTGACACGGAAGAGGCCATTTGGACAAGTCGGCACGCGAAAAGCGTCAAAAAAATCTGTCCAATAGTCTCCTTAGATGAAGCTTTCGCCAACAGTTGTTCGAAGAAGACCCTAAAGGGCGCGCGCTTTTTGCATATTGTGGTCAGAAGGTGCTAGATTTTGACAAGTGTCGGCGTTTGTAGAATGGACAACAAGATGATGTTGTCCGAAGGAGCGCTTACGCATATTCTCAGAATGCACGTGTTAAAATCGCGCCTCAAAATACCAACTTTTACTGGGAAAGTTTATCTGTGACTTCGCGCCTAGTCTAATGCTATACATCAACTGAAAGCGGGTCTTCCATAATGGTATCCCTCCCGTGTTTCGGCCTTCTGTAGAATTACCAACACCTCACGCGATATGTTCAGTTCACTGTTGAAAATCGGATGTGAAAAACCGTGTGTGATCTGAACTTCAGGACGTGAAGTGCCCCGAGGGGTTACCACGCCCGTTCATGGAGGCTCTTCTTTAACAAGTGTTATATACAGTGTATTAGTACACGTATGTCACCTTTGACGACCATGCCTAATCAAACCGGGACCGTGATCCGCCCCCCGCACTCGGGGCATTTTCTTTTCACGTCCGAGTCGGTCAACGAAGGGCATCCCGACAAGATCTGTGACCAGGTCTCTGACGCTGTTTTGGACGCTTGCCTTGCACAGGATCCCGATTCCCGCGTAGCCTGCGAGACTTGCTGTAAAACCGGCATGGTGATGATATTTGGCGAGATCACCACACGCGCTAAGGTGAGTACCACTCCATACCACACTTCCACCACATCGTGTCTTGGTCGTCTGAGTGTATCTCCTGTTCTTAGGTGGATTTTGTGCAAGTAGTCCGTGACGCCTGCAAAGAGATCGGTTACGACGATGACACTAAGGGTCTCGATTACAGGACGATGGAGGTCCTCAACAAGCTTGAGGAACAAAGCCCCGAGATTGGCCAGTCTGTTCACGGATTGGGAACCAAGGCAGGCATCTTCCCCGTACCGATTCATGTGTGACTCGTGTTATCATCAGGCCCCTGAGGACATCGGCGCCGGTGATCAGGGCCACATGTTCGGCTACGCCTCTAATGAGACTCTTGAGCTCATGCCTTTGAGCCATAGTCTAGCCACTAAGCTAGGTCATCAGCTTACCGTTTGCAGAAAGAACGGTATTGTTAAGTGGCTAAGACCTGATGGGAAGACTCAAGTGACCGTAGAGTATACTAAGGGTGATAGTGGTGAAATGATCCCCGTTAGAATCCACACCATTCTAATTTCTACCCAACACGAGTGAGGGCATCAGGCTACCTATTCCGCTCCGTATTGCTCATTTCTGGCAGCCCTGAAGTCAGCCAAGAGCAGATCCATTCTGACTTGATGGAATACATCATCGAGCCTATCGTGCCTAAGCAGTACCTTGATGAGGAGACTATTTACCATTTGAACCCCAGCAAGTTGTTCACTATTGGTGGTCCTCATGGTGATGCTGGTCTGACTGGTCGTAAGATTATCATTGATACCTATGGTGGCTGGGGAGCTCACGGTGGCGGAGCTTTCTCTGGTAAAGATTCCACAAAGGTGAGGTACGTTTGTGCTTCGTATTCGATCTATTCAACTGTGATCAGGTCGATAGATCAGCCGCATATGCTGCTCGATGGGCCGCCAAGTCTCTCGTCCACGCCGGCTTGTGCCAGCGTTGCTTGGTCCAGGTCAGCTACGCTATTGGACTGGTCCAGCCCTTGAGTCTTTTTGTCGACTCGTAAGAGCTCTTTCTCCCTCTAGGTGACACTCATTGTCATCATCGTGTTCAGATACGGTTCGGTGATGCCTGGGCTCACTGATGGGGATTTGTGCGATATCGTTCAACGGAACTTCGATTTCCGACCAGGTTGCATCCAGAGGGATTTGAAGCTAAAAGAGCCTCAAGTGCGGTGGCTAGTCGTGGAGGAGTGTGCTAATGCTATTGTTCTGTCAGTACCAGAAACTGGCTGCTTATGGTCACTTTGGTCGTCACGATTTGATGCCAGCTTGGGAGGTGGTAAAGGACCTAGAGGGGGAGGTGGGGGAAGCTAAGAAGAAACTCTCGAAGTAGTACTCAATACAATTGTCATTGCTGTCATAGAGTGAGCACTGCTGTAAGCAGTAGTCTACATGTATTATGGGAGCTCATCGTCACTATGGTGTTGTATGAGCCCTCCTGTCTACACCGGCAACATTGATTCCTCCCATTTTCGTAGTTGTCACATGGTCATGGGTAGCAGTGTATAGTGGTTACCACCTGAGGAGGTTTATTTCGCATTTTTTTCCAACGACTTGGCTAAACTGCAATATAATTTTATAGTCAATTTCACAGTTGATAACGATGATGGTCCTTTGTTGTGGTTGATGGTTATAGTCTCTTGAGTCTTTCTAGCATTATTGCTGCTGCTGCTGAATGAGCGTTGTTGTGTTGGTAGTTCCCGACTGGGATGGTATAGTGGGAGTTATTGCTAGTCGCTCTATTCCTCTGTGATGGTATCTTTTGTTTGTGCCTGTGGTGAGACCATCAGAAAGCCCAAGGTGCGGAATCATCTGCAACAGAGGCACTGCGAGTAATATAGGTTCACGTCGTCATCGTCATCGTAGTTGAGTTGTTGTGTACGGACTCGCTGTGCTGGTAGGTATATGTCTTGCGTTGACTGCAATCAGACTTTCTACGGTGAGGAGTACTCGTCACACAACAAGTGTATATCAGAAGCGGAGAAGTATATGGGGAAGCTTTATAAGCCTGGCTCGACCAGCACTGAGGGCTCTAAGCAGGATCGATGGCAGAGCAGTGTTATGGAGGTTGGTAACAGCAGTTGTTGAAGTAGTGGTCATGGTAGTAGTAGTAGTCGATGTGTTAGGTACTGGAGAATTATGAAGGGCCTCTGAGGGGGTATGTTGATACCTTGTTGGGGTATGATAACATCCCCAGGAAGGAGAAGGCCTTCAACAACTTCATCAAGAACAGTTTGAAGCTGTAGTCCACTGGGAAGTCCCGTTGAGCATCCTGATGTGGTGATGGTGGTGTAGGCATAACCCTGTTGAGATGAAGAAGTTGTGGCAGCTTGTGCAGAGTGCGGCTCCTGCTACGCCGCCTCCTTCGTCCAATAACAAGAGGGCGGCTGAAGATGAGCCTTGGGGTGGTTGGGAGGAAGAAATCAACAGGGCGCTCAAGAAGAGGAGGACTGCTGAGAAAAGGTAGTAAATCTTGAAGGGTTTAGTCCAGGGAGGAAGTTCACGTTTAGCATGCCATGGAAGCAGCTCCGGGATGAGGTCGTTACTCGTTACTTGAAGAAGGGTGCTGCTGGAAAGGGATGCAAACGGGAGGACGTGAATGACATCATGCTCTCGAAAGTAGGCATCGAAAGTGAGTATCTTGAGGCTCATCATAATTGTTGAGTGCAGATTCCCAAGGCCTATCTTAGTAAATCTAAAAATAAGGTTTCTCTCCCTTCTGAGGAGGAGGAGTAAGCGGCTAGTGGTTATTCAATTGTTACTGTCCGATAGTTTCCTAACGTTAGAGGTTTTCGGTGGGTATTGTGTTGATGCGAAGTTAATGGCGCGCGGTAAGTTTATGCTACCAGACTGGCTTCTATTAACGTATCGCATTATGACATTCGTTCATAATAACTATAAAACGTTGAACGTGGCAAAGGAGGCGAGTAAGCCGGCGATTCGGAAGGCCTATCTTAGTCTAGCTAAGAAGTACCATCCCGATGTGAATAGAGCCCCCAATGGGAGGTAGTGCAGGTGTTCGGTCATGTCATGGACTTTTCCTATGATCTCAGCTGATAAGCTATTCCAAGAGATACAAGAGGCTTATAGCGTATTGGCTGATGATGGTCAGCGGCATAGGTGATAGAGAGAGTAGAGAGCATGCTGGTTGAATTAAAGACAGGTTGGGAGAGAGATGGTATGGGAAGTGTTAGATACGACGAGAGGTTGTGAGCGGCAGAAGGCCTTCGTCGTCATCCTCGTCGTCTCCTGGTGGTCAATTCAACAGTGGGAGTCGGGTTCGTGATGATGGCAATCCGTGGGGCCTAGGGAAGCGGTTCTGGAGTAGGGAGGCTTGTGAGGCATACCATGAGGGTAGGGAATCTACGACGTGGATGGGCCGTTACCCCTTGGTTAGCGAGCAAGCCTTCCTATGGTCAAGAGTGGCAGAGACGGGAATAAGGGGGGTTTCATGGCCCTAAGGAGAGCTATGCTAGGTAGTAGTAAGGTGATCACGCTGATATCTCTGCTCGGGGTCGTCTATGGTACATACACATTGTATTGTAACGTGACGTGGTAGTGGCTCGCCTGCCATGACATTGGAAAAAAGTATAAACAGTAATGGTGCATGTCATGGTTTTGGGAGGTTCCCTTTTTCCGATACGTTTGTTGTCTACGATGAAGAGGCTGCTGCCTTACCAG